GAAGACTATGTGGTGTGTATGGGAGTGAAGCACTTGCTGAGAGGATGGCACAGAAATTTTGTCATTTCTGAGAAGAAAAATTCGACTTCAGTGATGAACACGTTGTGGAAGACCTTATTTTGATAAAAACCATGTAAATCTTTTGGTTCACGGTAATCTTCGCCAAGCAAAGCGGGATTCGCAGAAATTTTGAAATGCAATCACATTGTGTGCCATTTGCATTTATTGGGTAAGGTGCAAAGGTCGGGTATGTGGGTATCGCATGTGTTAATCGGCATTAACAAAAATAAGCAAATAACCATAGGTTCATCTTTAGTGGCGCGTTACCGTTTGGCTTGTCTTAAGTACAAACCATTCCTTTGGAACATTGTTATGGGTGACGAGAAATTGCACCTCTATATGAAAAAGAATAGAAAAGAATGGCTCAGCCCATCGAAAAAGCAACAATACATGCGAAAGATGGTGCATACTTTTAAAAATCTTGTTTGGAGTACCAAACTTGCCTTCTTCACCATGAATTGCTATTAAAAAATGAAACGATCAATGCTGCTGTGTATACTGAGCAGCTAAAATGACTCGCTGTTGTATTGATATCCTCACCCTCTATATTCACCAGACATCGCCCTTTCACCAGAACCGATTACCATCTTTTCCAGTCTCTAACACCATTCCATGATGAAGCTTCTCTTCAACTGGCTAACATATTTCTTCCAACTCGAAACCATAACATATCTGCGGGAGAGACAGTAAACTCCTACCTGAATGCTGGCAGGCAGTCACTGACGAAAATGGTAGTTATACCATTGAGTAAATGAGTGAGTGATTTATTGATTTACGACATAGCGTATCAATGTCTGGTTATTATGTATTGTTTTGTAGTGTATTTTATACTAATAAAATTATAGCATAATAAAAACGACACGAACCTTTGCTCCAACCCAATATATATATAAATAAAGAATTAAGGTAAAAACTGAGTTAATGCAAAACTTAAGATAAATAGAATAATGATGCTGATTTATTGTCAAAAATGTTAGCTGGATTCTTTGCTGGGAATAATGATATTTTGATGTCTTGAGTTCACTGTTAAAAATGTTAGCTGGATTCTTTGCTAAATCCCAAATCTTGCTTGTAATAATGAAATTGGAAGAAGTCGTCACTTTGTTTTCTGCTGAAGATTCTGACTTCCAGGGTATTCCTGTGTTAATTGTAAATGAAAACGTAGTTGAAGACATGTAGGGCTTGCTGCTAAAAGAACAATGTCATGTTTATTCTGTGTTTTGCAACTGTTTGTGCTGTATAGCTTAAAATTTGGAGGCAAATCTATCGCATTTGTTACTGTTGCAAATTTTGAATTAAAAAATATATAATATTCAAGATAGATACTTCAAAGCAGAGTTTTTAGGCATATGGGTTTCTAGCCACAGTAAGAATGCTTGAAAATACCACTTTCTCTCCACATTTTTGCCATATGCAGCTATTTTATGAGAGGCTGGGTGCTGAATGGCGCCTTAATTTTAAAAGGGACATTTTTTTGGCACAGCGATATTCTGCATGTAAAATTGTCTCTGTTCTGTGTGCCTGGTGACACTGTTTTCATCTGCTGTGCACATTGGAGCAGGGGTCTCAAAATAGCGGGCCGTATGCGGCCCTCAAAGCAATTTTATGAGACCCGCAGAGACATTTATTTTAATTACGAACTTGCTGCAGATACATTGTTACGAAGATTTCAAGTTTGAGCATTTTCATTACCATTAGAAACTAACATGAAAAACGCATAAGAAAAATCTGTAAATGGAGCTAAGTAATTTACAATTTAATACCTAATTTTATTCAGAGATTTAAAGATTATTGATTTTATTAACTTTTATTCGCACTTTAAAAAAATAAATCAGTTACAAATTTTTGCACTAAGAATAACCTCTTTGTTCAGAAATATATTCATACATAAACAGCGTTTCACCCCCCCCCCCCCCCATAATTGAAAATTAATAGGGGGAGGAAGATTCACTGATGAATATCTGCAGTTTGTGAGGAAGATAATTTCTTGTAATTTTCTCATAGGCTACAAATTTAAAACAAGTGTCAAGCTGTATTAAGAAATAAAGAAGTTTCTAATCATTTACGTACAAACGTGTATGTGTTTTATGTATTTTTTATGCGCCAAAGAAAAATTTAATAAATAAGAAAGATGCAAAGTTGTCATTATTTATTCTTAAGTTTTGTTCTTCTTGGAAAAATTTCTCTAAAAAGTTGAAAGTTTTCATAATTTCTTTCAGTTTAAATTAAAATATGTTGAGATAATTTAAACATGTTGAGATAATTTAAAAATGTTAGAACTATTTTAAATAAACATCAGTCTGAAAATTTAATATTTAGCTGCTAATATATTTGAATTGTAAAGTGTAACTAACAAAAATGCCTTGCAACTACCAAATTTCAGATTTCAGACAGAAAATAAATATAATTTTGAATTTTTTTTCCTTGCGATATTATTGTGTATGTGCTGTTTTGAAAAATAATTAGTGAGTAAAATTTACATAAAATATTTTTTGTTCATGAAAATTTAATTTCATTTTAAAAACATTCTCGTCCGTCAGTGGTTTTCAGATCATTTGATTCACCCATAGCAATTTGAGTTTGAGACGACTGCAGTAAGGAATTGGTATATTTATTTTATATTTCATGTGACATATTTGTTTTATATTTGATGTACATTTTAGAAATAAAGATCAGTTTTGTAGGTCAGCAGCTAAGCAATTACTACTTGTCTTTTAATAAGCTTTTACTTGAAAATAAAATTTAGAAATGCCTACCAGTTCTTACAAAATTAAATAATATAACGCAGTGCACTTATGCTCATGTCAAGATTCATAAAAATAAGACAGTGTTGCTTTTGAATTAAAGTAAATTTGCCACTTAAAGGAAACATTTAGGTTGTTTTTCCACATTCATAAGTTTGACGTATATATTTAAATGTCACTTTCCGATATTGAAGAAATATTTTACTGTGAAAGCTTGTAATATTTTATTGTTTCATTCAAGGGCAAATTGTCTGATATGAGGCAGAATTTCTGTGTGTAATGTGGTTTGTATTTTTGTATGAATTTGTGTTCTCAGTCATTAAGTTGGGCAATTTTCAGATGGAATGAATTTGTGCTTAATGTACTTATTAAATAAGATTTTGTGTTTAGGCATGTTATTTTAATTATGATCAGTGGGAATGAAATAATCCCATCAACAAACACTGGAGAGATAAACTGATTAATCAGCTTTCATCTAATAGACATCATGATCTGAATTAGAAATAGCGGATTATCCAAAATAATAGAGACACTAAGCGTTAAAAAGTTAATTTTGTTTCTGAGTTGTGTGATTATTTTAAGTGCATTCTCAAGATTACATTAAATTGGTAATTTTCAGTCATGGTTTATGAAATTAGCTTGTGTAGAAGGAAAATGTGTGACATAACCAAGTTCCAGAGGTCAGATTGTTGGTGTCTGTGTCGTTTTGTACCTTTCACCTTAGATGTAATATTATTGGGATATGGAACTCTGGCTAAAGTCATAGCAGCACAAAATATTCTCGGTAGATCATCTTCTGTGAGATGCAAATTTTTAGAGGAAAATGAAGCTTGCTGACAAATTCAGAAGGATGTTGTAGAGGATTGTTGCAATAAAAAAGCTACAAAAGAGGCGACTATTAAATTTAGTACATATCTCCAGAACACAGTTTTGACACAAACAGTACAAAGGGAACCACATAAGCAGAATATTTGAAATATTTTCAACAGAGCTTCTATCTGAAAACCTCTTGTTTTAAAAATAAATGTGAAGTACAAACCACAGTTTTCTTGGGAACATAAAATGTGTAACATTGATCAATATAATCAAATGCTGGTTTCAGTTGAGTCCGTGAATCAACATTAACACTGTTTGTGACCTCAAAATGAGTTTATTTGTGGAGAATGCCAGCAAAAACTTACAATCCAGAGTGTCTGCTTCCTTTTGTAAAATGCAGTGGCTTTTGGTTTATTCTGTGGTTTGCAACAAATCCGATTCTCATGTTATATGAAAGAATAAATTTTGTCAACTATATAACAGTTTTAAGAAACCATGCTCCTTCAGTGATACAGGCATTGCTTCCTAGGGGCAACTGCATCTTTCTTGATGATAATCCCATTTATGGAAGTCAAGTTGTTAGTCGCAGTTTTGAAGTCCATGAATATGAAATTACTCATCTTCTGTAGCTTACACAATCACCAGATTTAAATGCTCAAAAATAGAACGATATCCTGTTTTTCTATCCCAACATTTTTCAACAAATTGATACACTTTCTGATAGAAAACTGGTGTAAAATACTATTATCACAATTCAGAACTTGTGGTTCTATTTCAAGAAGAATTCAAATAGTTTTAAGTACCATAGGTGCTCCTATACCATGGTAAGTACACAGTTATTTATATTTCGAGATGTTTCCATTAATTTGGATAATCCTTACCTACAAGAATTTAATTAAAAGTTGTATTAATTAGAAGCAAATAATAAACTGCTAGTGGGTTAAGTATTAACACTGATATATTCAGTGCCTTAATAGTACTTTAATCAAAATAAAAATTAAAGATTTTGTGCGTAGTACCTTTTGTGATTTCTAATGCACGTTAAGTTTTCTTTGAACTCATTTTATTCTGTAACTTTTTAAAGTTTTATTCTGATATTTTTCATAAGATATACATAATTTTAAGTGTTATAATTTGTTTCTTTAAAGTGTCCTATATTCTTTAGATTTGCTATTACATTTAGGTAAAAGGTAAAAATTTTGTCCCTTCCTTTTTTAGACTTTGAATTAATTGTTTTTTAAAGCAGTTTTTTGACATCTGCATTTAATGATACAGTTTTTATTCATTTTGTAAAATTCATCATTTTCCTGTTTTATTTTTTAGGTGACAATGGCAAATCGTAATTCTGTAGTGAATGTCAGTGATGGAACATCTGTAAGTAATACTTCTCCTCAGTCTCCTACTGCCACTGCACTGCTTGAGACCCCTATAACATTGGATTTTGATCCTATGAGTTTTCAATTCAAAGAAGATTCCCCACTAACCTCTCCTGATAGTGGCCCTGATATTGGTGAGATGTCGAGTCCTTCACAAAATGCCGATGTTGTTGAATTTTTTGATCCCTTTTGTCCCGTGAAAGAGGAGAGCCCTACAGACTATTACCCAAATGTCATGTTAGGTCAAGCAACTTTGGCTGAGCCTCCATTAGACACTTTATCTGAGCAACAGTATTCTAATGTCTTTCCAATATATGATGATGTTCATGATGACACTGTTGTAAATGATTCATACCAGGATGATATATGTGAAGTCATGTCTGAAATTAGGAATGAGGCTGATGACATTTGTGAAATGTCTTCTGAAATTAGGGATGAGGATGTCTGCGAAATGTCTTCAGAAATTAGGAATGAGGAAGAGGATGTTTATGAAATATCCTCGGAAATTAAACAGGAGGAGGATAATATTTGTGAAGTATCCTTAGTAATAACAGATAATGATAATGAAGGGGCTAACAGATCTGATGCTTTTGAAAAATCGGAGGAACTGCTTGCTGATGTTTATCCGAGCTCAGACTTTCCTACTGTTGCTAGTTCTAAATCTGAAACATCTGCTGATGTAGAACTTATAACAGAATTAGAGCAGACACAAAGCGAAGAGGCTTGTGTCTCCTCGATCACTGAACAAGAGTTTGATGATAACAAGCATGATACTAATTCCCAGCATGAGCAATATCCAATTTCTGATGAAGATGTAAGTTGTAACAATTAACTTCCTATAGAATTATAATATCTTGCTTTTAATGTGTGTAGAAAATTAACTACTAATCAATTAGATTCGGAGTAACACTAAAGGTGTACTGCAATTCGAAAATTTGAGTTTCATATAATTCTTTAATTTACTGTAGTTTTAATTACAGATTAACTCTATGGAAAAGAGAAATCAAAATATTAGAATTTTCAAATATTAATTGTTCAGAATGCTTCAGGCTTTTTCTTTCTGACAAAAATAACAGTATATGTAGTGTTACTCTGAAAATTGTAGTAATTTTTTTTTTGGTTTGTTTTTATATTGCATGTTCTCATTTTTTTTGGGGGGGGCTGGTGAATTTGGGTTGGTGTACTTTTTTTTTAATAATCAAAAGTTTGAGAAACTGGTATTTTCTATTATCATTTAATCTTTATAATATTTTTTCTGTATTTGTTAACAACAGTAGCACATACACTGCTGGCCATAAAAATTACAACATCATGAAGGAAAGCAAATACAAAAAAGATATTTAATGTACGTAAAGAGTATGGCATGAAGACAAAATGATTAAATGTGTAAGCAGTTTAGGTGTTTACAGGGGTGTGAAATTAATAGAAACAACTGCCACCTCTGGCAGCTAAAATGGCCCCTACCTGGTTAGGCATGAAGTCGAACTGGGTTTGGAGGACAGAAACGGGCAACTCATTCCATGCTGCTTCAAGTCTATGCCACATTTCATCAACTGTATTAGCTGGAGAGGGGCGGCGGGCCAGTCTCTCAGCAAACATTGACTAGATGTTTTCAATGGGTTACACATCTGGAGACCGGCAGACAAGGGCAGCAATCGAATATCCTGTGTATCGAGGAAGCTCAGAACAAGACATGCAACATGTGGTCTTGCATTATCGTGTTCGAAGATGGCATTTGGCAAGCCTCGAAGATAGGGTACAACCACTGGACCTGAGATGTCAGAAATGTACTGATCTGCGTTCAAATTATCGTCGATCCAAACTAGAGATGTGCGTCTCATGTACCCAGTGGCTGCCCAAACCATCACACCAGGTGCAGGGCCCTTATATCAAATGCAAGCAGGCAACATGTGGTCTCCTCGGATCCTCCAAACACTTATACAGCCATCAGAAAACATCATGCAAAACTGGGACTTGTTTGAAAATATGACATTCTGCCACTCCTGTATCCAGCTTTGTCTACGGGTGCACCATAGTCGCCATCTCCCTTGCTGTGTTGTAAAGGGAAGCCTAAGTAATGGTTGCTTTGAAAATATGACATTCTGCCACTCCTGTATCCAGCTTTGTCTACGGGTGCACCATAGTCGCAATCTCCCTTGATGCGTTGTAAAGGGAAGCCTAAGTAATGGTTGCTGTAATGATAGTCCATGCTGCTGCAAACATTTATACACTGTACATGCAGATATTGGGTATGCTGCAAATATGCCTATTTCCTAACTAATGGTCCATGATGTGTTTGTACGATTTTGCAGGGGTGACCTCACAATATGTCTGTTGTCTCGGGCATTATTGATAGGAAGACATTGAGATCCTGCATGCTGTTAAGTATGACTCGTAGCAATCCACTGATTCCATATTTGCATGACAGTGGTTGGATGTTGATCAGTGCAATGGGCGATATCACGGAACGATAATTCACACTCTCAATAGGCAGGGATCCTGCCTCCATCAAATTCTGACACTTTCTGGTAAGCATTTCTTCTTCTTGTACAATATTCTGAGCAAACTCCGACCTTACAAAGCACTTTCCGAATGAGAAATCAACTACAAACTTTTCTATTATGCAGTGCTTCAGATGTTGTTTCTGCTTCCTGCTCTGAAATAATGAATGTGCTGAAATACTAATCATTTGCATATCCCAAACTCTTCTTCCTTTCATGTGATTTTGATGTTTGCTGGATCATTCTTTCCTGGTGTTGCAATTTTAATGGCCAGCAGTGAAATGAAAATATCAAAAAATTGTAAAACTCTTAAGGCAAAACACTTTAGAGAAAATCTGGAGTGAACTTAAAATCATAATGAAATTTTATAGATTTGGCGAGTATGGGCTTCAAGAATACATTTATTTAATCATTTGAAATCTTTAGGTTAGTTTTAATATAATTCAATTAAAAAGAATAGTTACAAGACTAATATTGATAACTGTGGAATATATATTTTCCCTTTGCTGACATTATATTTATTTTGAATGAGAAATGTTTATACTTTCTAATCAGCCAATGTATGTTTAACTACATGTGTAAAGAATGCTATATAAATGTCCTTTAAAATCTGGAATAGTCTTTAAGGAATGAGCAACAAATTTTTGAAATAGGCTTTAGAGAATGGACATAAGTTTCATTAATGGGATAGAAGTTAATGAAGAAACCAGGTGACTTTATTGTGAAACAGAAAGGGAAATGGAAAGACAAGGAAGTTATTGTGATCTTTGTAATGTAAACTTTTCCTTATAGAGGTGAATGAAAATTCTATAAAAGTTTTATTTCTCATTTGATGTTACTGTTTCTGTGTTACTCATTTCTTTTAAAATTAGTTTATCTAATTTAGCCACAAAACTTCTTCAGCTGGTGAATGGAATTTCGGTAAAAACCTATTGTACTCATCCAATCCTATTTTCTTCAAAAAATTCTTGTTGTCTCATAATTTCTTAATATTTTGATTTCTGTTGTTCAGTAGATGATTGCCTTCTTTTTGTTCTTTCACCTATTTATTGGCATACTTTGGACCAGTGTTAATGTTTCTCTACTGACATTACTTCATATTATGGTTCTGAATACTTTGACTTAGAAAGAGGACTCCAAGACAGCCTCAGTCAAAACAACATGGCTTTTCTATGAAACAGACATGAATATATAGTTGAAGTTTGCTTGATTTTACTTGGTCTTTGTGCACATCTAATCATTATTATCATTGCTGTATTGAATATTGCATCGTTAATTATGATCTCTTCAGAATATTTCTCCCTGTTAACTCTGAATGAAGAGCGCAGAAGCTTTTTCATGTGTGTAACAAAGAGGGAAGTCTGTTCTGGTATGAAAATGACAGTGAATGTCTTAAATAATTAGTTATATATATTTAAAAGTCTGTTTTCATTCGGAACTAGGATTTAATTAACACAGTTTCCTTACCGACTGTTGCTTCTTGCTCTGGAAACAAGGAGGCAGTCAAGGGGTAAATTTTTTATGCTTGCAATTAAAATTACAATCTGAAACTGTCTTAGCTATATTAAGAAACTTGCCTGCTGTGTTTTTTTTTTTTTTTTCTCTCTTTAAGTGGCGGGAGTCTTGCTATTCGTTACACATTTTGCCAAAGGTTTTCCAGACTTTTGCAGGTCAAACTTTTTTGTATTAAATAATATAGGATCGACAGTTTGATTTTGATTCAGTATCATACTTTAAAATCACTATTAAAAATGTAAGTTATATGAAACCGTAATCATATGTAGTCATGAAAACGTATAAGCACTATTAAAAAATTGCAGAGTTCTGATTCGAAGATAAGTTTTTTATAGTATTTTAAAATTTTGGTTATATCTATGATTGTATTTTATGTTACTTTAGCACATTCTTTTATTATGTTGCTATGAAAAGTGAATGAATATGTGGGAAACTGGTAGCATTGTACGTTTAGGTAGTATAAGGAAATATGTTATGTATATCTATGTTATTCTGTATTTCTATGAATGATAAAATGAACTTAAAGGTTCAGGATAGTATACTTTGTGTAATGCTGGTATCACTGTGTGTGTGGGAGGGGGAAAGGACTTAAATTTACTTTTTACATCCCCTAAAAAGTGTGGCAGTGTTACATGACATATTTGGGAAGTTAGAAGAAATAAAAATTTTAATTTTCACTGTAGTACTACATTCAGAAGATAATGTGACTTAAAAGTCCTGTGATAACATTTCCGACCAGGAAGATGAAGGGATGTCATTATGTCACAGGTTTGCAGTGTCCTGCATGATGTATCTATCTCATGGTAAGTGCTCAGATTGTCAGCTTCAGACGTCAGTGTGAGGGTTGTTGTGTCTTTGGGATTATGTGCCATCTGACATTTTCAGAGGTGCCTGTTTTCTCCTGAATGTCGTTGAAGGCTTACTGAATGCTTGTAGTGAGCTGTTTCATGCTAGCAAGCATCTTCTCATATATAGTGTATTTCATATTGGCAGAGATTATGATGAAATCATTGGACTTCATCTGGCAGTTTACAGACAGAAAATTGCTGAGGAAGGAGCCGAGGTTGCCTTTCATTGTCCAATCAGACATGAAATCATGCAATTTTAAAATTGCAGATCTTCTTAATGAAGCAGCGTAGTGAACTATTCCAGCAGCATTTTACTTCTAACCTCTTTCACTCTAAGATTAGAAGGACCATAATATGAGATTTTTATAATTAAGAGTTTTAAGTCCCACCTACAGAACTAAATTTTTTTCAATGAATTTTCTACCTGGCTTAAGAAACTCTATAATCAGGAAAACATGTTCAGAATTAATATCTGAAGATATAAGGGTGTTGCTACTTCGTTTGAACAACTCGTATAATTTATCAGTATATGATTCTGCAGAATTCCAAGACTTGCCTGATATCCTGTAATACATATACAGGGTTGGTGAAAAATAATTTCCTATTAAAAAAATTCTTTTGTTTCTGTGGAAGCATATATAATTTAATAATTTAATACCAAAAATTATTTTAACCTGTAGTTATTGTTTCCAAATAGTTCTGCTCAAATTACAGTTAGTGTCCTTTTACCATTTCTTGTATATTATCTTAAATGGCCAATTATGTTTTTGAGTTTTCCATAAAAACAAGCAGTGAATATAACATAACACACCTCCTGTATCGATTGTCTATGGCTTGCATCTCTTTCTGGGCATGCCTCTATAATTCTTTATCTTAGTTTCAATCATATTTTCTGCTCAGACTTTAACATTGAAAGCCTGCTGGACTCTTGATGTGCACAACATAACCAA